TGTAAACCAAGACAAGAAAGAGACCAAATACCTCCAGGGGACTGTTGCAGAGCAGAAGCGGGCCTCGGAGCTTCAAGAAGTCTGTACGCAACTCTGGGATGCATATGAACTGACTGGAGTTCCCAAGATCCCTCCCTGCCCCCACCCCCAAGAGTCCTTGGACGCGGGGTTTATAGGCCTTGCTGGGAACCTCCTAGCCTAGGACACAGGGATGGGAAGGTAGGCTTCTCTGAGGGGCTGTTCTCAGCGAGCGGATTAGGGACAAGGTGAGGGACTCAGCACTAGATGAAGATCCGGTCGCAGCGGCAGCTTCTAGCAGCCACCTGCCTGGTTGAGATGGAAACGCTGATTCCAGCTCCAGCCCCCAGACAGGCTAAGAATATCTCAGCCGAGCATCAGCCACCACCCCCGCCCTTCTTGATCTGTTCCTGCATCTGTAGTGCTCCTGGGAGCACGGAAGAGATTGAGTGGGGGGCTGCTTGGGGTGCAAGGCGAAGGAGGGGAGGCTAAGAAGGGGCTGGGTTGGAGGCAGGAGGTGAACGAAGGAAGAACTGCTGGGAAGGGCTCTGGGGACCAGGAAGCCAAAAGAAGGTCGACTCAGGAACCTGGCAGCTGGGGTTAGCAATGGGGTGAGGGTGAGCGAGGCCATTGTGGGTAATAAGGAGGAGAACATGGCTCCCCCATTCCATCATGGAAGGACCAGAGTTCACAGCAGGGCAAAGGGCCTCCCAACTTAGCTCTGCCATTTTCTCTTCCTTCTTCCAGATCCTCCGCTAGCTCAGCATTGGTCCCTTCTCTGCCCCAGAGCATCAGGTTCCTTTTCCATAGTCCCAGTTCTATTCCCTGTTCTAAAGAATCTGCACGTTTGTCTAGTACAGAGCCTTCTGTTAAAGGAAGAGGTGAAAATGGGGAGTCCTTCCTGGCAGCTAGCACACCTCCTCTATGAGTTTCATTTCCTCCCCATGCATGTCCCATCTCACTGTTCTTTGTTACCTTAGGAGGGGTTCTACTCTCCTCCATCGCCTCCCCAAGGCTTTGTGCCTCGCCAACTCAGGTCTCCTGAGGTAAGTCCTTAAGACAGGGAGGAAGGGAGGGAGGGAGGGAAAGAGGGATGGAAGGAGGGAGAACTGGGCTGGTGCACCTTCTGTCTGTACACCTCAGAGCCAGAGAGGCTGCGGTGGAGCTGTTGGGTTTTCAGGGGAGCCTCTTGCAGGCAGCAGGCTCCAAGCATTTAGATGCCTGGGCTGCATCTCCATCCTGGGCTGTTTTAAGAACCCGTGCCGCCATTAGCCTCTACATATGGGGCCCCCAAAGATGTGTGGATGCAACCTGTAGGGTCTGGGAACTCCAGGTTTCATGTTCACTGGGGTGACCCTGGACCTCAAACTGCTGGGGCCTCCTCCATGGAGCTTCCCTCCCTTCCAGGAGCTCCAGGAGAGCTCTTAAGGACAGAGAAAGAATTTGCATTGCTAAAAGCTTCAGCTCTGCTTCTCCTGTCTCCCCTGTCTGAAGTGCAGAAATGCAGGCCCCACACCGCTGCTGTGCACACAAAGACTGAGCCCAGCAGACAGAAACAGATTAGGGAGATGCAGACAGGGCTGGAGCTAGCAAGGGGAATGGACTCAGAGGGCAGACTTGATTCAGAATCAGAGCTGTGGAATTGGAAGAGGCTTTAGGAAGCCTTTCTATGTTATTCTTCTAATAGCTGTTTTTATCTGATAATAAAGTAAGACATGTCAAGTCCCAGAGTTTTATCATGAAGAAACAGAGGTTCCTAGAGACAAAATGGCTTCCCCAAGGTCATATAACTGGCAAGCCCTGGGCTATACCTCCTAGCTCCTGTCAGAGAGGGAGAAGGGAAGGTTGGCTAAACGGATGAAGAGTTTGCATTGTATGGCTTGGAGACATTCCCAGCTCAGGGAGTGGAGTGAGGGGTTCTTCTAAGGTAAGTTGATGGGGACCTTCATTAATAAGTCCTGCGCTGCTTGTAGCTCTCTCTTCAAGCCTTAGCCTTGAAGACAGTGGATTGTTCTAGATAACCTGAAGAGTCATAGACAGCTAGGGAGCCTGCTCTCAGCATTGTTCCAGAGGTCAATACAGGAAATGGTCAGACAAGAAACGACATCCAGAAACTAACATAGTTAGTGAATCGTACACAGGCTTTAAACATAATCCAGCCAGAAAAATACAGTTACAGATGTGGCAAGAAAGTCATCAATCTTCCATAAAGCCTCCCTCCTCCTTTTCCTCGTTTCTCAATCTTTATCTCCCTGAGCCCCTATCCTATAGAATATAATGCACTTCTCTCTCAGTCCTTAGTGCCTCTGGCTTATCCTTCTAATCAGTTCAGAGACGCTTCCTGGAGAAGGTGGGATTTCAAGGGCTTAATAGAAGGCAATATTCCAAGAGAGAAGGTTGTGGCCTAGAGTAGGTGCTCAAAGATAATCAGAGCAGGAAAGAGGAGCACCTGCAAGCCAGAAAGAGAGTCTCAGGTAGGCCAAAGAGTAAAGGGGGATATGATCAGAGGCACCTGATCTCAGGACCCTGAAACAGAAAAAAGTTCTCAGTTCTGACAAACAGGAAAATAGAAAGTCACAACCAGTCCTGGAGATATTCACGAGCATGCAAAGATCGTGTCCTAAATGGTACCGGCAACAGTCCTTACGTCAGTGAGAGACTCCTGGGAGCTAAGAGGGCCCACGTGCCATTCAGATCCACGTGCCAGGTTTCTGCCAACACAGCTCAGTCTCTGTGGGCCCTGTCCTTAACTACCAGTAAGCCAACCGTTCCTTGGGTGTCAAATAAAGGCTGACTCAGAAGGCCATGCAGGAGTGAGTGGGGCCAGTTATAGGAGCTGCAGAGAGGGAATGCTTTCCATAGTCATGGAGACAATGAGAGGTTGAGAGGAATAACTAAGGCCACAAGGGAATAAAGATCAGGTTCAAGGGCACAAGAGAGACCCTGCTAAGAAAGAGTACATTGGGACTGGAGAGATGGCTCAGAGGGTAAAGTCGCTTGCAGCCAAGCCTAAGGATCTGTGCTGTCCCCATAATCCGTATAGTGGGAGGAGAGAGCTGACTCCCCGACGACATTGTCCTCTAACCTCCAAACGTGCTGTGACAAGCATGTGCACCTCCCAAGCAATAAATAAATACATAAAATTATAAATAAAATTAAAAAAAATCTGTATGTGACTATGGTTGCAGGGAAGGGAGAAAAAGTTGGGGCCTCTGCTGCCATGAGCTGAAGCCCAAGGGGATTCTGGAACAGCCTATAACAAAACACATACACAAAGAGGAACGTGGGCACACACTGATCCTGACAGCAGTGGATCTTTGGTGCTGTGCTGGGTCTGGCGGAAGTGGAGGCAGGCCTGATGGTGCCTATAATCCCGGAATCTGGGAAAGATGGTGAGTTCAAAGCCAGCTTGAGAGAAAGGGAGAGGGGGAGGGAGAGGAAAAGGGAAAGAGAGATTCAAGAATAATTCTAAGAATTGTTACTAATGCCAGGCACGGTGGTGCATGCCTTTAATCCCAGCACTCAGGGAGGCAGAGGCAGGCAGATCACTATGAGTTCAAGGCCAGCCTGGTGTACAAAGCAAGTCCAAAGCAAGGCTAAACAGAAAAGCCCCATCTTGAAAAACAAAACAAAACAAAAATGTTACTGAATGGACAGGCACTGCTCTGTCCACCAAACCCATCCCCATGTCAGTGCCCAAGGTTCACCTAAGAAACTGGAGGACTCCTGACACAGAAGCCGAAGACAGCAGGCTGGGAGAGAAGGGCCCTACAAGGTACATTGGACAGGCCCAGACCAAGTGGTGCTCTTACCTGCAGGTAAGGCTCAAAGTCTAGGAAAAAGGCCTATGGCATGGGCACTCCAGAGAGAATGGAGAAATCCAGAGAAGCAGGCAGCACCCAGGCCAGCAGCTAGCATCTGGGAGTGGAACAGCTGGAGAACCAGGAAGCTGCTTAGTGATTAAAATCCACCTCGACTGGGACCTGGGTTGCGGCTGAAAGTTGGGCCAACCGTCCTGTGCCTATTTCCACACACAGAAGGTCCCTTTTGTTGTCCCAGACGGGGACCATTAACTGATCCATTTTCCAGAGTTCCCTAGAGTTCAACCATCCATCACCCACCCAAAGGTGAGATCAATGTGTTGTAGGGACAGCCAATCAAAAAGGAGCTGTCCAGGGGCCAGATCCAGAAGCAGGGACCACTCACTAAGCATTAGGTTGTCTTTAGACTACGTCCTGCTCCAGCCCAGTGAAGCGAAGACCCTCTGCCCCAGGAGGCAGGGTTCAATTGCTCGGGCTCCTAGAAGTCTCATCAACTACCATTCTCTCATAGAGCAGTAATGTGCCTGAAGTAGTGCCCCCACCCCCCCACCCCCGCCCTGGAGGGGGGGGCAATGATAGCAACCGGATGTCCAGATTGGAGAAGCCAGAAGGTGCAACTCGGGTGTCTCCATGAGGGCGCTCACTGCCATATTGCCCATTAAACAAACTCCAAGGTGAGCATAAATGGAAGGCTGTTCCCATGGCTTCTATACTGCAGCTTGGACCCAGGATAGCAAAACATTCAGATCCACGGTCCTAGGACCTGGAGGAATTGATGGGAACAGTCATTTTCGCCTCATTCCAACCCCCTGCCCGGCCAGAGACGGAGACCCCAGAATCAACCCCTCCCACCCCGCTTTTCATCCTCCTCTTCTCCCTTTCCCCTTTCGGCTAAAAAGGTAAGGGACCGGAGCCTCCGGGCGGTGGGTGAGGCGGGACTTTAGGTCAGCATGCCACGGCCTATTGGCCAGAAGAACTGCCGCTCGAACTCAGCCCGAGCGGGGATTGGGCGCAGGAGGCGGGGCGCGGCGTGGCGAAGGGGGGGGGCTAAGGGGTGGGGCTGACGCTGCAGCTGGCGCAGCTCGGGCTCAGAGCAGCCGCCGCGGCGCAGCGGAGCGGCTCCTTTCCCCCCGCCCGTCCGCGCGCCCGGGCCGGGGCTCGGCGCCCCCCCGCCCCCCACCGCCGGGTCCCCCGGGGCTGCAGCAGCAGCGGCAGCGGCGCCGCCCGCGGTTCCCGCCGGGGCCCGGGCGCCGGCCCCCCGGCTCTGCAGGATGGGCACGGTGCTGTCGCTGTCCCCCGCTTCCTCGGCCAAGGGCCGGAGGCCGGGAGGGCTGCCGGAGGAGAAGAAGAAGGCGCCGCCCGCGGGGGACGAGGCGCTGGTGGGGGGCTACGGCGCGCCGCCGGCGGGCAAGGGCGGCAAAGGCGAGAGCCGGCTCAAGCGGCCGTCCGTGCTCATCTCGGCGCTCACCTGGAAGCGCCTGGTGGCGGCCTCGGCCAAGAAGAAGAAAGGCAGCAAGAAGGTGACGCCCAAGCCGGCGTCCGGAGGCGCCGACCCGCTGGTCCAGCAGCGCAACCGCGAGAACCTTCTCCGCAAGGGCCGCGACGCCTCCGACGGTGGCGGAGCGGCCAAACCCCTGGCCGTGCCGGTGCCCACGGTGCCCTCGGCCGCCGCCCCCTGCGAGCCCCCGTCGGGGGGCAGCTCGGCCGCCCCTCCGCCGGGCTCGGGCGGGGGCAAGCCGCCGCCGCCTCCGCCCCCTCCCCCCCCGGCCCCGCAGGCGGCGGCTCCCCCTCCGGCCCCCGGGGGCTCCCCTCGCCGGGTCATCGTGCAGGCGTCCACCGGCGAGCTGCTCCGCTGCCTGGGCGACTTCGTGTGCCGCCGCTGCTACCGCCTCAAGGAGCTGAGCCCCGGCGAGCTGGTGGGCTGGTTCCGCGGCGTGGACCGCTCGCTGCTGCTCCAGGGCTGGCAGGACCAGGCCTTCATCACCCCGGCCAACCTGGTGTTCGTGTACCTGCTGTGTCGCGAGTCGCTGCGGGGGGACGAGCTGGCGTCGGCTGCCGAGCTGCAGGCCGCCTTCCTCACCTGCCTCTACCTCGCCTACTCCTACATGGGCAACGAGATCTCCTACCCGCTCAAGCCCTTCCTCGTGGAGCCCGACAAGGAGCGCTTCTGGCAGCGCTGCCTGCGCCTCATCCAGCGGCTCAGCCCGCAGATGCTGCGGCTCAACGCCGACCCCCACTTCTTCACGCAAGTCTTTCAAGACCTCAAGAACGAGGGCGAGGCCGCGGCGGGAGCCGGGGGGCCGCCGGGAGGGAGCGCGCCGTCCGCCCCCTCCGCCTCGGCCGCCAGGGACAGCTGCGCGGCCGGAGCCAAGCACTGGACTCTGAACTTGGACCGCTAGGGAGACCCAGGGGCCCGTCCCCCGCGTCCCCCCATCCACCCCACCCCTCCCCAGCCCCTCACGCACACCCGGGACCCTCTCCCCCATCCTCACCCCCACCCCGGGACCATCCAGCCACCGCCGCTCTGACTGCTGTCCTCTACGATGCCCAGGCCGGGCGGGGGGGGGGGGGGGTGGCCGAGGAGGAGCCGCCCCTGTCCCGCAGGGGAAGGTGGAGGCTAGGACGCCGGAGGCCATGGTGTCTGGATTCGCTGGGCTTGGGGTGGGCGTGGGGGGACGAGCGCGGGAAGGGCGCCCCCGACTTCGTCCACCCTTTCCCCCCGTCTGTCTGCGCCTCCATCTTTCCATTTCTGCCCCTGCCCGGGTCTCTCCCCTCTTCCCCGCTGTGGGCATCTCAAAGTCCGCCCCCCACCCCCCACCCCAACTCCCTGGGTTTCGTCCGGTTCCTCACCTTTTCTGTGTCTTCATCCTTCCTCCAGTCTACAGCTCCCTCTCTCTGCCTTGCCATTGGCCCTCCCTGGGCTCTGCCCTTCTCCGCCTTACCCCGGGCCTGACGGGACCCCCATGGCCCTCCCTGCTTCCCTCGCACCTGTGTTCCCGTGTACCCTTCTTGTTCTTTTTCCTTCTTCTGGTCATATGTCACCACCTTCCCCTCCTCTCTTCTTCCCCTCCCCCTGCTTGTGTCATCCTGCCCTTCTCCCTCTAACCCCTAGACTCCACACCCCTCTCCCCCAGACCAAAAAGACCCTTAGTTTTTTTTTTTTTTTATTTGGATAGACTCAAGTGGACAAGCGATTGCAGTCCCACGTGCCCAGGCAAAGATCAGGGTGATCCTTTTCCTCACCCCCACAGCCTCTCCCCACCTTTGCCAACGTGTTGCATGCTGGGAGCTGAAGGGGAAAGGGCTGCTCGCCTTCATTCAGGAGGCTGAGATTTGAGGGCAAGATCCAACCCGGTAGACCACCCCGCTTGCCGCGGCCCTGTCTTCTCTGTGGATGGTCAGAAAAAGAAAGAAAACTCTTCTCGTTCTGGGGGAGGGGCGTCCCCTTCCTTATCTTTAGATTTCTTGTTCTATCTCCTCCCCACACTTTAATTTATTTCGCTGTTTCAGGAGGGAGGGTGGGAGGGTAGGGGGCTGGGCCGGGAATTGTCCGTGGTGCTGAGCTGGGCGGGACCGGAATACTGGGAGAGTACCAGGGACTGGGTTGAGCCTGGGGCCCTGTCCAAGGTGCCAATGATGCGGGCCGGACGGCGCAGGCCGCACTGTTTGTCCGTCTGTCCTGGAGAGAACTATAAAGCGCTGGGAGCGCCTACAGATGGTCTTGCGCAGGCCTTTCTTTGGGTCCTCGGAGGGAGGGTGGGGAGGATCGGGAGTAGAAGTGAAACTGTTAAGGGTAGGGCAGGAGGGCGAGAACCAGGGATCTGGAGGGAGGGGCAACTTGCTACCTGCTCCTGCCGGGCTTCATTTTAGAGTGAAGAGTAATAAGCCAAGGGTTGAGGTTGAATCCACCTCCCCATCCTGGCCTCCATCTTGACTGTCCTGTCTCCTTATTAATACCCGGGCTACTTAAGGACATGGTAAGGGCGGTAGAAGGCATTCCCCCTCTGTGAGATGGCCCTCGAGACGGAACTGGCCAGCCACGGTAGCTGTTTTCATTTCTCTCCATGCTTCCCACCAGGAGCCCAGTCAGTCCTGAGTAGATCTGTGCTCACCTCTCTCAGTTGGGATCTGAGCAACCCTCCCCCACCCCCCACCCCATGTCACCAAATCACTACCGGGTCGCACGGAGGCTGCTTTAGTCACACGCCTACCCAGAGCAGTCTTTGGAGACCCATTCGTGCTTGAGACTCAGACCTTGACCCTTGGCCACCAGAAAAGTGCAGATACGGGCAGAAACAAAAGGGGAAACGGAAGCCCTTCCGAATTGAAAGAAGGGAGGAAATGAGCCAGTTGGCTCCGAATCCCTGCCTAGCCCCCATTGCCTTCTTAGTCACATAGCGAAACAGCACGTTCAGGGTCGTGTCTGCTCAAGGAGGGCTGACCGCGGGCAGAATGTTTTGCGGTTGCGAGCCTGGTGGCCACCGCGGCCGCGAAGACCCAGAAAGAGTACCGGGAGCTGCCGCCAAGAAAAGGGCCTCGGGCTCGCTGTCCGTGGTGCTGAAGGGCGAGTTCGTGCAGGGTGGGGGCTTGCAGCGAGGGAGGGGGACTCGGTCTAATGATAGATCTTCTGAATAATTTAAGAGCGGGGTGTAAGCCATTCTGGTGGCAAGTTACAGAAGTCTTGCCCGAGAACCCGGGGATGTTGCCTCCCCCTTGCCCTCCTCGGAGGACAGGTCTTGGCTTTCACCTAGCACATACCCATAGCCCTAGCACCCGGCCCGGAGGCGGAAATTCTCGGTCCAGATTTGTGAATCGAGTTCCCGGGGGAGGGGGAAAGCCAGCGGAAGGGAAGGCGGGAGCAGCCGCCCATTGGCTGGAATTTGGCGCAGTCAACGCGGTGCCGTCATCTCTTTGGATTTGGGAGGAGGGAAGGAGAATCATGGGTCACTGCGCGGCTGTCGCCATGGTAACCAGACTGAACGGGCGGGGCCATCTTCCTACTCTCTTACCTTTCGGTGGGGAAAGCACCCTGGTTTTTCTAATTTGAAACTAATAAGTGAGGCTAGCTACACTTGACTGGAATTTCAGAGTTAGAGCAACCCAAAGGGGACGAGGAAGAGACTCGGAAGTCGATAGAGATCTTTAAAAACCTTGCCCTTGGGAGATTCTAGCGACTGCCTGGAACTCATGGACACAGCGTCTTCTCTCTATTGGCACGGGAGCACACCTAGATGCCCTCTCGTGCCTCCTGGAACCTATGCTCTGACGCTGAACAACTCCTGTGAGGAGGGGAAAAAATCAGCTGCTAGCAGCGTCAACTTGCCTTGTGCGTCCCAAAGCGGGAGACACTGCCATGATCCGATTAAAGTTGGGGGTGGGGTTCTGGAAGGTTGAGAAACCGGACTTCATGGAACAATTAGCCTTCTGGGTAACATTTGGTAGGAGTCTGTTTTCTCCGGGTGGAGGGCAACAGGAGGAAGGGCCCAGAATCGTCTTCTGAGAACACAAATAGAGGCATGTAAGTGAGAGAGAAATGTAAGAGAGTCGAGTACCTTCTCTTTCCTGACAGAGACTGAATGCATCCAGGTTGGTGAAGACGGCCTAAAACTCTCTGGAGAGCCCCGAAGGGCCGGGAGTCGATGAATGGAAATGGAATTTGGGAGACGGAATCTTAGCCGGAGCTATGACTCAGCACTTGCCCTTGCAAAGGACCAAAGCATAGGGCCTGGGAAAAGCGGAGGGCTGTGGGAAAGCACGATGCTGCATCTACACATGGCCAAAGGCACATATTCCAACCCACGCAGACATAAGCGACTTCATACTGACGAAGGTTCATTCAATTAGATACATGTATGTGCTCTCCCCTTCTGTGTCCCCCTCCTCGCTGGACATTGCAAGGGACATCCTGTCCTGAGAGCCATGCTAGCCTGTCCCCAGAATACCTTAGTGCTTATTGGAAAAGAAGAAGTGTTAAAAAAAAAATCCCAGATATGGGAGGGGAGTTGTCATGGAAACCCCTTTGCCTGCCAGCCAGGGTGCCCAGCAACCAGAGCATCTGGCAGTATCCAGGAGGGTATCCTATGGCCTCTGCACACTGGGACTCTGCCTCAGGCATTTCAGACGGGTGCTCCTGAAAGGTTTCTTCCAGGGAGCCTCCAAACACAACACCCCCACCCCAGTCAAACTCTCAGACTAGGAGGGATAGCTGGAGGCCGAGTGAAAGGATCTCTTAAAGTACCCCTTCTTCAAGTACACCTTTGTAAACGGTGTTCTTTCCCACTACCCTTCAGGGTCTTACTATGTAGCCAGGGCTGGCCAGGTCTCCCTGTGTAGACCAGGCTACTCTGGAACTTGGGCGCAACCCTCTGGTTATCCTGTCTTCGCCTCCTGAGTGCTGAGTTACAGGCAGGTACCACCATTCCCAGCATCAAGGAGTTCTCTTCCTGCCCTTGTACGTGGTCATCCATTATCACTGAGTGACCTCCAGAACAGAAAACACGCTTAGCCACTGACTCATCTTTTCAACTCCCCACCTCAACTCCTAGCTTCCCGCTCTCTCAAAAGCACTTATTTATTTATATGAGTGTTCTGTATTTCTGTACATCTGTACACCAGAAGACGGCATCAGATCCCAGCACAGATGGTTGTGAGCCACCATGTGGTTGACTGAGAATTGAACTCAGGACCTCTGGAAGAACAGCTAGTGCTGTTAGCCACTGCCATCTCTTCAGCAGCTTGTCTCTTGAGCAGTGAGCTGCTCTTAAGATCTTTTTCTGCTTGGAGATATTGGCCATAATAATTATCAGCTTCTCTTAGGAGCACTCTCTCAATGTCTTCACACCCCTTAGTCAGTTGTCTGTGGTTAATATTTAGCTTTAAGATTGTAAATCTTGAGCCAGGCATGGTGACACAGGCCTGTGATCCCAGCACTCAGGAGGCAGAGGCAGGAGGATCTCTGTGAGCTCGAGGCCAGCCTGGTCTACAAGCCAAGGCTACACAGAGAAACCCTGTCTTGAAAAAAAAAAAAGACCATAAATCTTAAAATCAGTCTCTGCATAATTTGTATATGGCAACTTAAAACTCAGGACGTGGAACAATGAAAAATATAGAGAGATAAGTACCTGTTTACAAAATAAACTTCCTGCATGATATTCCACCAAGAAAAAAGGATGGTCGTAACAGTATGGAGGCTCACAGCAATTTGGGAGGCTGAAGTGGAAAGATTCCTTAAGCTTACAGCCATCGTTTTCAACCTTCCTAATGCTGCGACCCTTTAATACAGTTCCTCATGTTGTGGTGACACCCAATCATAAAATTACTTATGTTGCTACTTCATAACTCTAATTTTACTACTTTATGAATCATAATGTAAATAATGGACGTGCAGGATATCTGACATGTGACCCCTGTGGGTCTCAGCCACAGGTGGAGAACTTCTGGCCTATAGGATCAGAGCAGCCTGCATAATAGAGTGATACCCTTAACTCGAAAACAAACAAACGCTTTCTTTTATTATTCCAGAGAAACCACACAATACCAAGGAGCCTCTAAGAAGAGTGACTAAGGCTTGTGCACCACTGCCTGGCTCCCTTCCTCAAAATTCATCTAAATCTGAGCAAAGACTTAAAGAAAAAATGTTATACCACCTTAGATGAGGAGACAATCAGAAAATATTAAGTAATATTGTAACTATCTAGACTTTTCCCTCAGGAGTTCCAACTAACAGAACTGGTGTTAGAGAAATACTTAAAGAAATAGGGAGAGCTGACAGGGATTTTCAATTTTTAAAAACTTTATTACGGCTTGGAAAGAGAAAAGCTGGACTCCATTTCAATATTCACCAAGAGTTAATCAGGGCTAAGTAAACTGTGGCATATCCCACTTACTGAATTTTACACTATTCAGTTAAAACAAATGAGTTAGCTGGAAATGGCAGTACCCAACTATGATTTCTATATTCATGATGCAGAGACAGAAGGATCATAACTTTGAAGTCAGCCTAGGCTGCATAGCAAAACCCTGTCTCAAATAAATAAACAAACATGTAAACAAATAAACAAACAAATAAGTAAATAAGGGCTGGAGCAATGGCTCATCAGTTAAAATCTCTGGCTGCTCATCCAGAGGACTGGGGTTGGACTCCCAGCGCCCACATGGCAGCTCACAACAGACTTATAACTTCAGTTCCAGAGGATCTGATGCCCTCTTCTGGCTTCCAGGGACACTGCATGCACAGTGAAGCACAGACATACATGCAGGCAAAATATTCATACATACAAAATAAAGAAAATTAAATTAAAATAATAATACAGTCTTAGTATTGTGTGCAGTTGAAAAACAGTAATTAATACATAATAGTACATATTAAAGTCAAAACTTACATATAGGCTGGGCTTGATGACACACAGCTTTAATGACAACATCCCAGAGGCAAAAGTAGAGGCAGAGGCAGGCAGAGTTCTGTGAGTTCGAGGCCACATAGTGAGTTCCAGGTCAGCCAGGACTGTCTATTTTAAGATTCTGTCTAGGGCTGGAGAGATGGCTCAGAGGTTAAGAGCGCTGCTTGCTCTTCCAGAGGTCCTGAGTTCCCAGCAACCACATGGTGGCTAACCATCTATAGACCATCTATAATGAGATCTGGTGCCCTCTTCTGGCCTTCAGGTGTACATGCAGACAGAACATTGTATGCATAAAATAAATAGTTCTTAAAAAAA